AAAATAAAAAAAAATAAATTATTTTCCTAGAAGAAACTTTCAGGGAGACCATGATATTTTGTCTCTCTTTCTGTATTTTCATGATTTCTCTAAACTTCATATGGCAATAAATGTCATCTTGTTGATTCCGGTTAGTTGCCAGTGCTGCCTAGAGCACGGCATTGACAAGACTCTGAGGCTATGAGCACATTCGGCGGAGGGCCAAGACTGTGCTACACTGACAGGGTTTGCCATCGCTGCCAGGGTCAGGTGGGGACACGTGGGAGACCTCTGGCCAACAGCATGAGGAGGAAACTGAAGCAGACAGTCCTCCTGAAATTGGGCAACTTGCATCATTCTTCCCGTGCTGATGACTATTGACCTTAAAACTAAGGCCCACTCAGATACTTGTACATCATGTTCTCTGCAGTATTGTATCATGCACAATAGCTGAAAGGTGGAAACAACCCAAGAGTCCATCAAGAGATGAATGGATAAACAAATCTGGTCTATCTATACAATGGAATGCTACTCAGCAATAAAGAAGTAATGAAGTTCTGACACATGCTGCAACGTGGATGAAACTTGCAGACGTTGTGCTAAGTCAAATTAGCCAGACACAAAAGGCCATACAGTGTATGATTCCACAAATGTGAAATATCTAGAATAGGCAAATTCATAAAGACAGAAAACAGATTAGAGGTTACCAGGGGGTCAGGGAGAGGAGGAACCAGGGAGGTATTGTTCAATGAGTGCAGAGTTTTTGTTTGGGTGATAAAAAAGTTTTAGAAGTAGATAATGGTGATGGTTGCACAACATTGTAAATGTAATTAATGATGGTTAAAAATAGTTAAAATGGCAAATTTCGTTACATATATTTTCATAATTTTTAAAAATTAATAACAAGTGAAACTTTGAATTGTACACTTTACATGGGTGAATTGTGAGGTCTGTGCATTACATCTCAGTAAAGCTGCTAAAAAGAAAATGAAGGCTGACACTTGGAGTCCAGCATGAAATATGATCGTTAAACCCCTCAACCTGTGTTCTGGATTTGAGGTATAAAAATACTCTGTTAGGGGGCCGGCCCGGTGGCTCAAGCAGTTAAGTGCTCGTGCTCTGCTGTGGTGGCCCACGGTTCGCCGGTTCGGATCCCAGGCGCGCACCGGCGCACCGCTTGTCAGGCCATGCTGTGGCGGCGTCCCATATAAAGTGGAGGAAGATGGGCATGGATGTTAGCCCAGGGCCAGTCTTCCTCAGCAAAAAGAGGAGGATTGGCAGATGTTAGCTCAGGGACGATCTTCCTCACAAAAAAAAAAAAAAAAACTGTTAGTTTTAAAGGTAATGAGAACAACCCTACGAGACGCAATTATTAGTTTGCAAATGTAATTATACATCACATCTGCTTTTGGAGTTGGTGAGCATCTCACGAGAGAGGTGATGCTCTGTGCACCACCTCAGTGGACTCTCAGTCTCACCTGTAAGAACATTCCACAGGCTCTTGAGAGGTTTACTCTGCACCACACTGATCCTGAGAGAAACTGTCACTAGTAACTGTTTCTATAAGAGTAACTGTTACTAGTGATCATATGAGTTGTATATTTGATTCATTAGAAGAACATATTTGTCAGAAACTCTTTCCCAAATAATCAAGATAGAGTCACCTGGGAGACTGAGTATTCCCGAATAAGCTGAGATGTTGTCTTCTGAATATTAGTACTAGATAATTGCGGCCTTACTTATCCTCAGAGTTCGTGCAAAAAATGTAAAATATGAGGAAAA